AAAGACTTAGCATTTTTCTTTATATGTTCGCGGAAAACAGCACTTAAATCTTAGCATGTACAAGAATATTTTACTCGCGTGTGTCCTATCATGAATAAGTGACATTATTTTCTCAATACTAATGGATATCGATTAGTGGTTGAATGGTAAGAATGTTCGTTTGTCACTACAATATGTCGAGTTCGAATCCATATGTAAGTATTATGTTCATATATTTCATGCGTGTACATGCCTGCAGAATAAGTACTTCATGCGTGTAAATGGCAGCACATCGTATACATGATGTCATTTAATTTTTAAATATTTTTTTGCTGAACATGCGTGATGCTGCAAAAGTTATACAGGCGGAAACTCGCGTGTAATCATTCCAAAGTTTTGCGTGCACACGCGAATATAGTTCACCCTGTGACGCGTTCACACGCATGCAAGATTATAGTAACACATGCATGGGCACGGGTCCATTATCGCGCATTTACATGCATGTTTTTTAACATTATGTTTGACTGGGCGCTAGAGAACCACGAACAAAATTATAGAAAAATAAACCTGAGGAGCACCGCATGTCTGTTTTCCATCGGAAACAGTTTTTACTGAAACATATATGACTCGATACAGGTTTTGACGCTGATTCCAAGTGTGCTATTAATTTTGCTTTTGGACTGCATAATAATAATAAAAACTGCTAAATACACACACATTTTTCTTTCTTTCGCCTCATATTATCACCAGATGGGAAAGAAATTCAATCATCTCAACAATAAAACAGAATTTAAAAAGAACTAAATAATTAATGTTGTTGGTCACAATCTGACGATTTTAATGAGATAAAACACTTTCTTTTATTTCTTGTTAAAAAAAAACTAGATAGGTCTATAAGAATGCTCACCAGTACGTGCTTTCAGCCTGACTGATCTAATTATATCGGATAGGAGTTTTTTAACTGTAGTAGCTTTACATCTGATTAAATAATATTTTTCTACTTGGTTTCTCAGATTGATTTAGAATATAATATATTTAAAAGGATTATAAAATAAATGTAGGCGAATTTACTCAGTTTCCGTAGGAAAAGCAAATTTGTCGTTAATAATAACATGTTTTAGTCATTTGATGTATTTAACAATTCTTTTCTTCCAGCTAAACATTAATCGAATCGAAAAAAAATGTATATTCATGACCAGCTTTTGAAGCTTTATTAAATCATGTATAATAGAACGAAAAATAGCATTCACTTGAATTTTGCATTTTCGACATCTTATGTCTTACTTGGTGGTGAAATGAGATAAGGAACCCTATTACGCTGATCTTCCATAAAAGATAAGTTTTTATTTCTAGACACACTACATCATCGTTTAGTTATCTCAGTTAGTCAAACCACACCATCAGTTAGTTTTCCAACTATATATGCCAATTTTATCATTTTGAGTATTTTAAAAACGAAAAGCAAACAAAACTTCTTTAAAAAGGTATCATTTTGCAGTAATACTTATAACTAAGCAAGATGCATGTTTCAAATAAAAAAACTAAATATATCATTTACAAGTACATCATTTGCTAATTTCGGTTAAATAAATGTCTGATCACATCGTGTTTTTAAGATCATCGCATCAAAAGAGGATGAAAACTGTTCATGTGCAATTAAAGACAGAAAGATGAATTCAAAGAAGAAAAAATAGAGAGAAAAAAATATAGAAAGAAGACTTTCGACATACTACTATATAAGTGCTTCTCACTTTCCAACAAAATCGCATCAGTCTACATAAGTATTGTGTTCTGTGTCACATTAGTCAGTCAAACTTTCGATTTAGAACCTAGTGTTAACAAGATCTTAACTTTGATTCAGCATACTCGATTTCTGATAGCACTAAGCCATGGATAAAAACGGTAAAAAATCTATTTTAACGCTGTCCTCATCATTGAGACGTGATAGCGTAGCTTCGTTTTTGCAGAATATATATTAGAATCTGTTATTAAAGTATAATATTTACTATTGATACAAGGTGACTCAAATTATGTACACTAAGTTGAAAAATTCCATTCAATAAACATCTAATTACTATTGCTATGGTCACCCTAGAGACGTTTTCTATTTCAGGAAAAATTGGAAATCCAGAATACATTTTGAAATCCATCTTCCTTTGTTATTTATTTTCAGTACAATCATATCTAACTTCTTTAAAGACAAACATGTCCGCCGTATCATATAACGAGTCTCGTATAGGATTATTGGACAGCATTACAGTTCAATTTAACCGTTATGTCGCGATTTTTATTTTTCTATTCGGCGTTGTGGGAAACATTCTCAATGTACTTGTCCTTTCACAACGGTCACTTCGTTCTAATTCATGTGCTTGGATTTTTCTGGCTTTATCCATTATTAATCTCATTTCTATTCTATCTGGTCTTATCACAGTAATGATCGGTGGTTGGACGACTAATCCAACCAATTATATTGGGCTGGTTTGCAAACTTCGTGGTTTTTTTGTATTCACAACAAGAACAATCGGTTCGTGGTTTGTTGTACTAGCCACTGTCGATCGATGGCTTTTGTCAAGTATCGATGCTCATCGTCGACAGAGAAGCACATTAATAAATGCTAAACGATGGACAATAATTATTGTTCTTCTTTCAAGTCTTCTCTATGCTCAACAACTATATTGTTATGAAGCAAATCTTATTGATACTCCTCTGCGATGCTATGGTAAAACAGTTGCATGTCGTTATCTCACTGATTTATCATTTGCTGTAATGACAATTATACTCCCTTTATTTTTCATGATTTTATTTGGTTTGTTAATTATTTCAAATGTACGTCAATCTCAAAGTCGTATTCAAGCATTACAGTTACAGAATACCAATTCTACGAGAACTAAGTCGTTTGGATTAACTGCTGGAACTGCAGATACAAAAAGTAAAAAGAGAACAGATTATAGTCTTCTTCGAATGCTTCTTTTTCAAGTTTTGCTTCTCGCTATTTTCACTCTTCCATTGTCTCTTGACAAATTTTATTCATCCTTTTCAAGAGACGACGGATCTGAAGTAGAAAAGTCTATCAATGCCTTCGTATATAATTTAGCCATTTTGATTTATTTTCTATCAAATGGTATAGCCTTCTATGTTTATACATTGTGTGGTGGACCTGTGTTTCGAAAGGCATTGTATAATACTGTTGTGATGATGAAGCGAAGAATGATATATCGATAGACTTATGTTTGTTTCATAAATAAAATTGATTGGCACTGAATCGTCACTCGCTTACACAGATTTAGTTTATGTTTTTCTGTTTCATTTACATAGCTTTTACTGAGAATTTATGATTTTGCACAAAGCAGTTGGTTTCGTCTTTCAAACCAATACAATGAAACCATATCAAGACGAGTCATGTTGACTGTAAGAAATTTTCTTCATTCATATATATTTTGATTGAAATATAGAAAAGTATCGAAAGCATTCACATCTTCAAATGGCAACTATGAATTTTCATAGCACTGCCCATTCGATTTATTTACTTGTCCAGTAATATGATCCATACAAGATGAAAATTATGCATTTGAGCATGATCTGTATTCCTATTCTATCCTTTGTATATCTGAAATAGATGGGATACCTGGAAGCTTCTATTGAAGATATGATAGAGATACAGAAGATAATGGAATCCGCATTTTTATCTTAAACAAATGACAGTGAACATTTATTTTTTGCAAAATCGGATTGATATGATGCATATGATCGTGAACTGTTGATAAAATTTGTTACTGTATCGCGATGACTAAATGCCTATCTTCTATTGCTCATTTTAAAAAAAGGCTGGTGAATATTTTTTCAATGACTTTGCACTACAGTCAGCTATCAAGTTTGGGTTTGTGGTGTTTGAAATAAGCTTCCCCATTGCATCGATCCATATAAAATTGTTGAGATTCATTTCGTGACTAAGTAGGGATGTATGATAAGAACCTTGAAAGAGTATGATGTTGTTCTATGAAGAAAGAATACATTTCAAATTTTGAGAAGTGGACTAGGATGATCAGCTGGCAGTTTACAAATCTACGAAAGGCCGAGATTTTTATCTCAATTCGCTCAAAAGTTATGAGCCAAGTACTGACGATATTTGACCTAGTTTTTATCGATTTTACCTTTCGCATAACATTTTTCGAATTGTCATTATTGATGTTATTGATAATGATGGATCAACTGACCACACCTGTTTCCTTGTAGAACAAATCTTTTTCTCTCAAAATATTGCTACTAGTGATTGCACGACATTGATTTCATATGTTAACCGATTGTTCATTTGAAATATGTACATCATATTTCCTAGACACTTATAACTGCACGCATCACATTTTAGGTTTTTAATTTTTTGATGAAAAATATGAAAAGGAAAACAGCAGCGACTCATATTGTCAATCGACCATTTCTTCTGCTTCCAAATCGACGTCGCCCTCTTCGTTCACCAACTGTTTCTAGATCTCTGAGGTGAATCAATCAGGCTCCTTGAACATGTCTTCGATTTTGTATGTTTGATCGATATATCCCATAGGAGTTACTCTAATCAACGATGTCATTCATTGGCAGGCCAAATGTCGAACATCATTGAGACTAAAGTTAACATTCTTGTCATGTATACAATTTTTAAGCCAGCTCATTCTAACCCAATCAGATTGAGCATACACTGCTTCGCTGGCAAATTATGTAAATACGTATATTAAAATAAAAACGATATGAAAGAGTATTAACTAACCGTAAAATATCAACCTCGTATTTTTTGGCTACATCATTGACCACTTAATAATTTGGATGGTAGATTATCGAAAGCGAGCACGAGTAATTCAGCTTTAGCACCTTTAACGGGGACTATGATATTGTGATTCATCGGCCACTGGACGATAAGTTTTTTCTGTCATTCTCTCTTAGGGGGGATTATGTCTTCAGTAAGTTGGTTATGCCAAGTCGCATTATCAATAGGCAAGCCAATCTTTACATGCTTTCCTAGATAGGTTAACGATGAGATTCATGGTAAAAGGTTAGAAATCATATTACCGAGTTATTCTCTCAAAAGAGAAGCTGTTCGATTAATCCAGGTCACCAAGTGTCGCGTGTCCATACTATGATTCTCGTCACGCTCGAACATGTCCATGGTTTTCTGGTAGTAACGTGATTTATTTATAAGGGCAGAAATCTCTAGTCTTGTGCCTATAATGATAAAAATTAATCACTCAATTACAAAAGAAATAATGAATACTTTTATTCTGACTGTGCCACATCCTATCTGCACCTGGCGTTTCATCAGTCCAAATAAAACGTCTCTTTTCATTCTTGCTGTATCATGTCTCATCATGCGAAAAATCTTCGAGCCATTTCTGCGCAGTTCATCGATGATAGTCAAGTGGTGTGCACACGCAACCATACATGTAGGTGTATCGAACAGTACGATGACTTTCGACGTTCGTTTGCATTCAAATCCAAGTTTTCTCATTCAATGCCATAGTAGCATCGTTAACCGGATAGGAAAATCAGCATTCTAGTCCAGAATCCGAATAAGAACTTTGCTAACAGTAGAATAGACTCGCTCTGACAAAAGGCAATGACCATGATATCTA